TGTTGACTATTTTTGGGCTGTTTTGAGTAATCGACTAATACATGTTCCAGTGAATATATAAACAAATCTAGAAACCTGAATTCAAAACTTTACAGTTGCAATATAAAATTGCTTTTGTTTACAGTTGCATGTATTTCTCAGTGGACATTTTTGCTGAATCTAAAGATTTAATTCAAGAATTATAGTTTTGGTTATTTCCAAAAGTATCCAAACATTAAATAAAATAAATACAACATTTATACAAAACTGTATAATAAGTTTTTGCTTGTTATTTAGTGGCTATATTTATTTTTCATGTGTAACTCATCTCTTTTCTTATTTTTAGGATTATAGCAGATTTTTAATCATTTATCTGTTTCCAATTTTGTCATCATTTATATGATTCTGTGTGGAGCATATCTTAAAAGCCTGGGTGACAGATAAATCACTGGCACGATTTTGCCATCACTATGTGTGTGGCTGGCATTAACTACTGGCAAATTTGTGATTTTATGGCTTGTATATTTTACACATTTTATCTTTAACCACATTATATTTTGTCCTAAAAAGCAAACTAAAACTATTGAAACTATTTTTAACCTCCTGGGGATTACTAAACGGTGTTAACCTGAAACCTTATGATTCTTTTATTGAATTGCTGCCTCAGTGGGGCTTAATTTTACTACACTGTACTAAACATCACTGAAATTTCATTAGATTACCTGTTTTCCAAAGTGTAGACTAATGTTACCTTTACTGGACTGGCATGAGACACTTAGGTTATTTAGTTAATTTTCTATCAGCAAGACTTTAAAACGTGGTGAAACTCATTAAATTTCACTTGTGCGTCATCCTCCTGTTGCTGTGAAATCTCCACTTTCACATATCATGCATTGTGATGACTTTAGTGGGTGTTTCTTGTGTTTATCTCTATTTGCACCACCATTATTCAAAGATGTCTGTGCTGCAAATTGTGTTGAATGTTGTTTTACTCCTGAACTTTTCAAGTAATTTGTCTCACACATGGGCCCTGTACACCTTCTTTTACATCCCCAAGTGTGAGACTCTGTGGGAGTTTAGTGAATATTACACTCATTCAAGCTGTCATTTGCAGCTGTTGTCAGCAGATTTCTTAGCTTAATTGAAGCAACAGGCCGCGAGACCGCAACGCTGTCTGATGCAACTGACTGACAGAGATAAACCAAGAGATAAACACATTAAACCAAGGCTAAAGGCTGTCATTACCCCAGGAGACTCTCTCTAACATTCGCTCCCTCGATGACAACCCAGACTAATATTAACTCTGGCTGTAACTGTCACTCAGTACCATTTCTTTGCGTCAGAATCTTTATCACCAACCCTGATACTGCATTTAAGTGCCAGTATGATGTCAGTATCCGTGCAATCCTGTGTGAGGTGTGTCTAAAATCACTCTGAACATGCTTCCTGCGGAGGGATGGAAGTTGAGGAGGAGCACACATCTTCACAATGAGAATGTGCCTCATAACTGAAGTAGATACTGTGGCTCCAGCTGAGCAGCTGGCAGTAGTGTGGGAGTTTTATTGCTGTGTGCTGGTCTCTCTGCTCCCGCCCTGTTTACGCCCCCATGCATTTCCCTTTCGCTCGTTTGTTAGCTGCTGAGCTGTGATCACAGACCGCTGTCCCAGCTCAGAGCAGACTCCTGAGTCAGCAAAAACTACTACTGCTCCTCTGGAGGTGTGTATGAGAGAGGGGAAGAGGTAAACTAGAAACGCAGTGTCTCTCAATAGATGAGCGAGTTCAGAAGTGCAGGCCAGTTCTGTCTTCACTTCCTGCTGATGCTCCTGTTTGTCTAGGCTGTGGGTTCGTGCCATAACAACACTGACTGTTTCTTCTTCAGTTAAACCCTAGGATTTTCTACTTTCCTCCTCACTCTCTCCCTCACATGTACACATTCTGTTCTGCCGGGCACGGAAATCATGGCTTTGCTGCAGGATAGCACTGTGTGTGTCTGCTGACGTGGCATTTTCTCCCTCCCCTCATTCATATTCTAATGTCAATACTGTGCGGCTTTAAACTTTCTCCTTAGGAACTTCTCCAAGGACAAGCTTGAATGACATTGGCTCTTAAAGGCCCAGTCAGCATGTTTTCACAATCGATTCTTTTTTGGCCTGTTCGCATTCCTGCAGGCATGACATTTTTCATATCTCTCACAGTGATTGGACCTGGGTTTGTTGATAAATCGAACATGTGAGGGTCAGTAGTTATCAGGTTTCATTTCGTGTACCCCTGTCTTACCTAGTTAGACGTTGAGAGACGTAGCTGATGACCCCGTTCATTAGGGCAGTGCGGTATTGACATGAAACGTGACATTCAGTAAAGCTGTCGCATATCACAATGCCAATAGGAGAAGTGCCACTGACTGGATGTGATGTGAGTACAGATTTTTTTTTTAACTTTGTGTGTTGTTCAGTCTGCGGGACCCATTTTCAATGTTTACCAAAAGAAAAAATGATGCAATTTATTACTGCTTCAGCCTCAGATTCTTTGGCCTTTCTTTATTTTCTGTGAATAACATATACAATAACACATTTTCAGTGCCTTCAGTGCCGCGGGGAATAAACGTGTGGAGGTGCTGTGTCCCTTCACTCTGTTCTTCTTCTACATGGCCTGCTGTTAGTGTGTGTGTGTGTGTGTGTGTTTGTATATGTGTGTGTGTGTATGTGAGGGTGGACAACATGGACAGGCTGCTGACTGGCTACAGCTTAAGGAGAACCCTACGCTGGCCACTGGTCATCTGGTATTTTTACATAAATGATTATGGCTGGATTGATTTCAAAAAAACAATAATGTAGTGAGTTCACCAGTCCACTGAGTAACAAACACATCAACACCACACCAGGGTAAATACAAACTCACAAGAATGTATTTATTCATTTATTTATTTTTGGTTTTGTTATTAAATATGTCTGTTGTGACAGTATCCATTATTGCCTTGTACACTTAAAGCACAGTACCTAATGTTTGATGTGTTTTTGTGCTCCCACATAGGAGAACAGGGTTCAAACCCAGCGCACAGAAACACTCAGTAGGCTTCTAATGGTTTGTGTCAGTAATGTAGCGAGGTCTCTTTGCTGCTGTGTGTGTGAAGTAATTTGATATGTTTTGTCATCACTGCTCTAACGAAACTCATATTGCAATAACAATAAAAATACAACTTATCCTTAACCCTAACTTTAATTAATTAAAATCTACTTCTGTAGTAGCTGCGTAGTAAAATAGGTCAGCATTAAACTTTATCCTTAAGAACTTATTTAAAGACATGCTTAAGTAACACTGACTCTTAATGCCTCAGTCATGTTTTTACAATTGATTCTCTTTTGGAATTGGAGCTTTCTGTGTTTTTTTTTCTGCCATTATATAAAAGAAACATAAGGCTAACTAAAAAAAAAGAGAGAGTTCATATCACCCCCTTTATGAAAGAACTGCACTGGCAACATTTATTATTTGTCTTTTTAATTTGGTCTGATTTTAGTACTCATAATACTTCTATTACTATTATGTGTTATCAGCTGTCTGTAAAGCACTGTAAAGACTGTACTGTGCTACCGTGTACATCACCACCTGCATTAGCTTCAGTGCGCAGTCCTAGCTGAGCTGCTGTCAGTGTTTCTGCTCTGTACTCTGCGTGCAGTGTGTTATTTTGACTAAAAAAGGCTTTATTTGAAATTGTTCATGGACAGAGCTATCTGTAGAGGCTGCATTTCACACAGCAGGCCAATCAGACGGAGCATTATTGTACAATGTGAATATATAAATCGTTGGCTTTGTCTGTACATGATTGTCTGTTCAAACATACAGTGTGAGTCTAAAATCGCAGTGTATATCTGGCTTTAGAGGACAACTACAGCTAAACCAGCCAAACAAGGGACTCTGGGATGCGAGCTCTTTGGCTGCATTAGCCTCAGATATAATTCTTGCTATTATTGTGCTACAGAGACTGATGTGGAAAGAGACAGATTGGGATTCAAAACTATGAATCACACTTTACTTACAGCTGTACAGAAGCGCTTTTCTGATCAAGCCCTCTCTTCTCTACTGCTACTCAACCCAAAGTAAATAAAGTAACATAGCTAGCAAATGCATTCGTTTAATATCAGCTAGATTTTAATGATTTAACTGTTAATATACATTGCACTCATTTATTCTAACAACTACTTAATTTTACGTAGGTTACTCAGTATGGTTTCGGACTCAGTATCTAGTACTAAAGTAAAGTACTAAAGTAATAAAAAAATATATGTACTCGTACTCTGTCTGAAAAAAATGGTATTGATGCTTCCGTAATTATTATTATTATTATTATTATTATTATTATTATCATTTATTGTTGGATGCAGTACTTAGCAATGATTGCAGTGAAACTGAGATCACTGAGCCATTATTATTTCTTCAAGTGAAGTATTGAGCAATTGCATTATTATAGGAGAAGACAAGGAAGAAATCTTCTTCTTATAAAGTGATGTACTTTGTTTAGTGTGAGCCTGCCATATTACTGTAACAGGTAATACAGCATCTGTGTGGCAAAAGAAACAGGATGGCACTGTGGGTGTTAAAACTCACCAAGCTACATACCAGACACCCAATGATATGGATTAAAATCCATCTGTCTGCCATGTTGTTGGTAATTAACACTAATGATAGTCCACAGTGTTGTCTCTAGGGTAAGTTATTGGGAAGATATTGTAATTAATGATTGATCTCCTTGAGCAGAGGAGAAAAAATCCTAAGAGTGGACACACATTATAGCGGGAGTTTCAGAAGATTCTCATAACTCTAAACTGCCCTGAAAAGGAGAGAATGAGGGAGAGACCACTTTCATTGTAAACAGAGTGACTCATATTCCCTCAGACATCTACAGTATCATTTATTTGTTTATCCACATTGGCGAAATAACATTCCGGGTACTGTAGAAAAACTAACAGTTTTATCTTTGTCTCCCTGCCTCTCTCGCTCTCTCCCTCTTTCTTTCTCTTTCTCAGATGGAAAGGTGTATGCGCTGGGCGGTATGGGATCAGACACCAGCCCACAGGCTTTTGTGAGGGTCTATGAGCCGGTGAAGGACCAGTGGTTGTCTCTGGCCTCTATGCCCACGCCTCGCTATGGAGCTTCCTCCTTCCTGCGCGGAAACAAGATCTATGTTCTTGGTAAGCCTGCCCACTCTCAGCCAATCAGATCACTGAGAAGAGCCTTACTGACCTTTCATCAACCAATCAAGCTGCTTAACAAGCTTGTCCCCGAGGCAATGAGAAAATAGTCCACCCACACAGTGTCTAAAGCATACATTACCTGATGACGTTCCTTGCTGTGGGTGAGTGTTTACATATATAAATGAAGATATGGAAGCTTGGTTCTCAGACAGTGCGCAGTAGTCAGTAATTATAATGTGTCTGATTTCTGTGTTAGACGGTGTCACAATATTCAGGCGGTGTGGCAGACAGGATAATAACACCTGGTAATTGTTCGTGTTGTACTAAGGCTGATTGCCGGCTCTAGGGACCCGCTGCTCCTTAGAGAAGCTAAAATGTTCAGCAGAGGGACTGCAGTTTTTTTTCTTTGCCATCCCTGGTGAGAGAAACCACATCCACTAAAGCCAGAATGGGAGCTGCTACTGCTGGTCTTTTGCCTGAATCACAGGGAGTCCTCCAGAAGACTCAGGCATTGTAGTGTAGGTTAATTGCCACTCTATGGCACTGTGAGTAGGTGCGTGCATGTCTGTGGGAACTGTGTGTGTGTGAGAGGCGATGACATAAGCCAGTTAGAGATGTCTCAATCAAGCTTTTTGTCCAATCAAGTCACTTACTATTAAATAATTGCTGATATTTTCACAAACACTACTGCTGTGTGGTGGACGTTTTACATTCAGAATTTGTAAGACCAGTCTAATTTGGGCAAGGTACAAAATTCAGGCCGTAAATGTCAAAAGTTGACGAGAAGAAAACCCACCTCTGCAATAATGCCAATTTCTGCCAGAGCCCCTATGGGATTTCCAATAGTTTCTAATATTTTAGTGTGAAGGTAATGCTGGTGCGTGTTTCCGCCATTCTAGATTAAACATGGACACTTGTAAAAGACATTCCATACAGTTTATTCTATGCTCTTTTACCTTTATATTTTTACAGTGGCTCTTATAGAGCTGCCACCGTTGTTTTCCATTTCTAACAACTGACCGAAACCTGGGTGGACTACAGCTTGTATTTGCAGTCTGTGACATGTCTAAGACCTAGAGTAATGTTTAGTCTTACAAAATTAGTCCCACTCATTCAAAATCAAAACATGATTGGTTGAATCCATTGTTACTTCCTAATTATGTTGGTAGTTAATCTAACATGTAAGGCCTTCAGTCAAGCTCCTGAAGTGCTAACCAATGAGCTGTTTTTACCTAGATACCACAGGGAAAAAATCCCAAGTGGACAATTTTCCATTTCAAGATTTTAATCCTTTTGTTTATAAATCAAAACTTAATGATGAAATAAGATTAACACTATAATACTTGCACTTTAAGTACAACAAGCATGATTAAATAAACGAAATATTTCAGACATGTATTTTTAGTTAGTTTGCAGAAATAATTAGGCCATATTGAAGGCTTATAGGACCCAGAGGCTTCCTCACTCTGCTGTAATGATATTTTTTGTTTTTTGGACCACTGGTGTGAAGTAAGTATTTTACGCTGTGTTCATGTTTCAGGTTCCTCTAACATGCAAGGTAGCCAACTCCTTCTACTTCTTCTTCTCAACTTTGAATACCTTGTTTCTGCACAATCTGTAATAGCTGTGCATTCAACACTTTCATGCAGTTAGTTTAACCATGTTTTGGAAAAAGGCAGGTAGCATAATTGTAGTCAAGACACTGGCATTGCAGGTCTTACATGTGACTGTTGGGCTGTTCAAAATAGTTTACTACTGCATACATATAAACCGCTTGTTAATTTCTGAAAATGTGCAATTTGCAACTGATGCAATTTGTGTGTAAAGTCTGTTTGTGGCATCTCTATGATGACGGTGAAAATAGAGAGCACTGGTATTAAATAGGACTACATATGGATAAGGTTTAATATTGCTGATATCAATCCATTAAAATATACTTGAATCAACTCTGAATATAAGGCCTTGTTCAGACTGCAGGGAAAAGTGGCCCAGGTCCAATGTACTACGCAAATCTGATTTTATTGTTTGGTCATTCACATTATCATTTTAATATGAACTATATCTGACACCAGTCTGGACAGATCACGCTCCTGAACAAACCCACATCCGCAAAGAACACCAAGCCAGCTGGCACGCTTATCCAACAAATGCAGCTGTCTCCTTTTGTGTAACATCAAACTTTGATATGTAGGTACTGATACTGAACAAAGTAAAAAATGTAAACAATGGTGAGTTTCTTTGTTGGTTTTAATTGTGGAAGCTGATCAAACAGAGAAAGGAAGCTCAGTTATTTTTGTTTACCTGTAAAGAAGGATGCTAGGAAAGGACACAAATTCGGTGCCAAAACATAATATGACACTGTCTAAAGGCATTTGATCTGTATGAAGCTTCCTGATCTCCTTTGCTCCTCTTTTTTTAAACTATTCTTCAAGTAAAGTTGAGTTTGAATAGCTGTTAGTTCTCTCATTGAAAGGTTCCATTCTTACATATTCACACTGCCTGTGCTTTTCTTGCTGCTCCAGAACAAAGGACACGAAGCATAACCATAGTAACAGGCGTTTCGATGACATGATGAGGTCTGGCCCTGCGCCATTATGATGAGGATTGTGTTGGATTCATGTACAAGTTGCATGAATTCAGTTTATTCTGTTCATTCTGTTCAGACATTGCCATGTATCTCATATATATATATATATATATATATTTCTTTACTGCTTATGAAAATGGCCCAAGTTGGAATGGAAATGGTCAGATTCAGTGTGTTTTTTGCTGTTCACACTGTCACTCACAAAAAAATCTGTCATATATGAAGAAAAAGATGGGATTTGGACCACATTTTACTGTGAACCTAGCCTGGACTGTAAAAATAATTTGTAAAAAAACTACAAGAAGTCTGGCGGCAGGGGTGCCAGCAAATTCAGCAATTTCACAAGTTCAATTAGTTGTTCTGACATGCAGTATTTTGCCATAATGATAACAGTAACCATTAAGATAACCTCAAAAAGGTCTCTGAAATGAAGGTGATCATTTGTTTTTGTGAATTTACATTCTATTTCTGTAAAGTTTGACAGTGAAAATACGTTTTTGTTTGTTTTTCGTCACAGTGTAAAGTGCTGCCAATCAGACTGTGATCAGACATGAGCCAGTTGTTCATGCAGAGTTGCCTGTATATGAGCCATTTTCTTCAATGTGCTCTGCACCAACATGTTGTAGAGGTCCCAGAGGTACAGAAGGAAATGAGCCGTAGATGCACAAACACACTGCTTCAAACTATTCTGAGTTTCTCAATCAAACTTAGATACACCCTTCTCCCTGAGAGTACTGCTCTGATCTGCAGCTGAATGATGCGCTCAGAGCTTAGGGCCCATCCCAGCCCTCTGATCAACTGAGTGAGGGTAGAATAAGGGGGATATGAGAGAAAGATGAGAAGAGGGATGATGGAGGGAGCCGAATGAATGGAGTGATTATATAGTTCCCGTCGTCATGCTTGAGACACTTAACCTGCTTTTGTATCATTGATGAGGACTTACACAGATTGGTCTGACATCACATCTCATTATTCCTACTGAATTTGGACCAGGCTGTAATCACTTCTCTCCTTTCTTTCCGTTCTCTATCTTTCTCTCTAACTTTGGCCCTCAGCTGTTCTTTATCTTGTGGAAGTCGAGAGTTATTACTTTCATTTTGTAATGCTACTCAAATGGAATTGCATAATTATATATTTAATTATGTAGTGAACTGTGCAAATGCGAATTACATTTACTGATCTAATTGATCAGGTTTAGATCTGCACTGGACTTTTTTTCGATGAAATACGAAAGACGTAAAAGATGTTTTCTTCTTTTTGCTAAAAAAAAATACATGCATGATAACTTTTCATCAAATTCAAATCATGTTAAAATATGTCCTCTTCTGCTTAGAAACTTAAATGTGTTATAGTTTAGTGAAAACTACATAAAGCTACTTAAGGGTTACAGGGTGCTCTTCCAACAGAATTTTTCTGCTTGTTTTAGTGAGCTACAGGTACGAAGTCACTATATTGAACCACATTATGCTTTTATCAGCAGATACACAGTTGCTTGCAGAAGTATGATCTGGCCAAATCATTTATTTATATGTTTATTTTTAAACTGAAAAAAGTAAACACAACCTCTGCACCAAACTATTGAACGACATATAGTAGACTGTATTTTTCAGTCATGCATTGACTTCCACAGTTTCCCTTAACTACCATTTCTTAATGGCACTTGGACAGGGGAAATTGCAAACTGAAAGCGATTTGACACCTGTTTATAGCCTTCCCCTGATCTGTAGGCATCAGTTAGCTTAATTTTCTGATCATCAGCCTGCTTCTTAGAGGGGCCCATGGCTGCGGAGTGTTAGCATAAGGTTTGAAGAGTCAGGGAAGTCATTACGCTCTGGAATTGCCATCAGTTGACAGTTCTTAATGACAGTTCTTGACCTGCATGACTAGTCCTAATGAGTCTGTTAAAGCCCAGCAAGGTAGTTTAGTTCTAAGACTTTACAATGGAAGGGTATCCAAACCTTTACACATGCCTCAATGATTTTTAATACTTCATTTAATTTCTTAAAGTCAAATCAAATTGAAAAGAAATTGAATATCAGCATTAACAGGAAAAAAATCTTTTTTAAAATAGTTTGCTGTGAGGGTTGTGTTTATTTTCACTTGAAAAAGCAACTAAATGTGTTCTTTGGCCAAGGTTGCCCAAACTTTTGCATACAACTGTAACTGCGACTTCTAAAGGTTAACATTGCTGAGAGTCGGACAGAGAAAAGTTTCTACTAACTTGTTCAGCAAGTGGGGGAGCTGCAGACAGGCAAATTGAGCCTAATTCGGTTCTGTCTGTGGGGGTCTGCCGGGCTGTAGATAGAGCAATGGCAGAATCACATTAAGGCTGTGCATGAGGGATGAGCCTGGATGGGAGCACACTCTATTTATGGAGATGCGGTTTGGGATGCGACCCCGCAGGTTCTGT